ATATCATATATATACCTTTTTTGATGGTGTTGCTGCAGCTCGCAGTGGTGGTGGTTGAAGCAGGCGGAGTACTATAAGTAGTCTTTAGCTTCTCCCATACATCGTTAGCTGTGTAGAGGCCAGCAACAGTATGCATGACATTTTCACTAAGTGAACCAAAAATCCATCCTTTCACAAGCGTGTCCGATCTTTTCCATTCGCGATATTTGGCCTCCACAGTATTATCGCATTGCTTGTTAGAATTGGCATGCTCCTTGGGGTTTTTCAGTGTGCCATTGATGAAATTAAGCATATCATGACTCTCTACAAGGCACATCATCTGTTCCCGCCACAGACCATAATTGGTTTTGCTTAACAGCTTGATAGAAACAAAGCTCGCTGCGTTCACGTGAGAAGGGTACGGGTATTGGTATGCATTACCTGAAAGTCAGTAGATAAACGGAATTCAGAAAACCTAAATGAACAAATTAAAGATTTATATAGGTATACGTACATACCTCCCCTTGCCTTAATAAATTCTGCCACTTGAGTCTCAAAGCTTGTTGGAGATGTGTTTGAGGAAGCCATTAGAGTTGAAACTAGTAGTTGTTAATTATGAGTCTCCTCTGAAGATACATACTTCAGCCAGCACATCATCTTTAAATATTAGTGCACAAGTAGAAAGGAGAATCAAAATGATGAGTGCTCAGTGAAGTGTAAAGTGTTTAACTGGGTCTCCCTGTTCGAAACTTTCAAATAACATGTCAAATAAATAAATACTAAAAAAATACATGAAAAAAATACTAGAAATTAGAAAATAACTATCCGTATCTAAATCCAAAAAATGGGATTTGCCAAGGGAATTGCCTACTCCATGCTTTCCACTTTTTTGTTTATTTATTTTGTACTATTATTTTTCTATTTTTTTGAAAGAAACAACCCAACCATATGAGTTCTATTAATTTTCAAAGTATTTTTTTTAACCCTGGACTCATACAACTCTAATCTACTTCAGTATTCTATTTTTTTTAACCGTTGAAAGAGTAACTATATAAAAACCAAGAAAAAACTCTAGCAAGAAGTTAGTGAAAGAATCCAAACAATTACAATGAGATGCTTATAATTGGGTTTTTCACCCAAGAGATCCATTATATCCGGTTTCTATTACTAAGCCAATCATACAAAAGAAAATGACAATTTTATCAATAATTATGCTTTTTCAAAAAAGAGTGGGGATCAACGATTGTGCTGTTTCCATACCACCAAAGCACCAAAGCAGTCAAATCTGAAAATTTGAAAAAAAGGGAACTTATAAATGTTTGTAAATGTCTCATCTAACAATTTGTCATTGACATTATACTGCTTTCTTAAAGTTTTCATATCATAATTAAAAGCGGGTGCTGTTGTATGTATCCTTCAAATTTCATAAAATTCTTCCACATGTCTTATTTTTGTTATTTTATTGTTTTTAAACTTATTTTGAAATATTTTGTCTTTTTAAAGTTTTTGTTTTTGTTTTTTGTTTTGTCTTTTATTAAAGCTGAAGTTATTATTATTAAATTATTATTATTATTATTATTAAAATAATTGATTTTACGTCTTTTTAACTTTATCCTTTTTTTCTTTCAGGTTATCATTGTGTTATTTTTTTTCTAACCTATCTTTGTGTTAAAAGAAAAATTACAAACAATTATATGTATGTTTGTGTGTGGGTTTTATTTAACAGCTACGAAAATCACAAAAAAATAATAACAATATATAGTTCGAACTTAAAAGATAACGTATGGATAGTCTAAATGAAAAAAAAATAACACAATTATAGTTCAAACGAAATAATAATAATATATTTATTAAAAATATTAAAAACAAAAAAAACAACAAAAATACCAAAAAAACAAAAAACAAAACAAAAAAG